TGTGTGTGTGTGTGTGTGTGTGTGTGTGTGTGTGTGTGTCCTTTCAGAAGATCTTGTCTAACAGCAGGACCCATCCTTTATTCTATTAGTGAGTCCTCAAGTCTGTTTCTGCAGCGATAAGAAAGGCCAGACCCCCTCATCCCCACAGGCTAAAACACAAACAAGCTGAAAATAAATGCATTAGAAGAACATCCAGTCTGTGTGCAGCTGGTCTGAGGACACCGTTCTGTCCTGAAACAAGCTGAACTGAAAGGTTYAGGTTTCTGTGTTTTGTTCCTGAGTGATGCAGTAATGACGGCGTTGCTCCGGTTTCTTGTGTCCATCCATCTCTCACTAACGGTAACAAGCTCCWTCATCCAGGTGGAGCTTGTGGAGTCACCTCTGGTGGTTCAAACATCTGGTTAATCTCCTCCAGGTCTAAAATGAAATATTAAAAAGTGTCACTTACATGTTTCACATTATTTAGCTCACTTTTGGATCGTTACAATTTTTCCACTAATATTTTATTGTGATTTACATGTAGCTCACTGTTTTTACATTTAGCTAATTTTTTACTAAATGTTAAATTTAAATGTTAAAAATATATTTAAATATTAAATCCTGAATCTAAATGTAAAAGTTAAACCTTAAATGTTGAAGTTCACTTTAGGTATTTTGGAATGGAACGCAGCCTTTGCTGTTGGTGCTCGGCTCACGTTATGATGTCATCATTCTGAGACAATAGCCATCGCCAGCGGCTGCTATTGCTTATCCATTTAAATCTATGGTGGCAAAATCATGCCAAAACTGGCGAACGTAAACGAGTTTTGGCATGATTTTGCCACCATATTTAAACATTATCTTTAGCAGCATTAGAAGCATTAGCAGAAGTTAATGTCAGATAACCAGCATGATGTCATCATCCTGTGACAAATATCAACAATTGCTGCTGCTAGACACAGCTAACCGCTGCTAATGCTGCTGAAGACGATATTTAAAATCTAAATTCAAAATTCGTTCATAAAAAACAATATGTTTGAAGTGCAGCTCAGACACCAGCCATAACCGCAAGTTTGATGTCTTGTAGGGAAGCTTTAGCTGCGTTGCTAGTAGTTGCTTTTGTCTCAGGATGATGACATGAGAACCAACAGTAAAGGCTGCATTCCATTCCAAAATATCTAAATGTGAACTCTAACATTTAAGGTTTAACTTTTACATTTAGATTTTAACATTTAAATTTAGGATTTAAGATTTAAACATATTTTGTAACATTTAAATTTACCATTTAGTAGAAATTAGCTAAATGCAAGTAAAGTGAGCTAAATCACAATAAAATCAGGTCAAGTTTGTGTTATGATAGCATCAGTGAGCACTTAATGTATTTTACTTAAATCTGTCTGAAGAAGAGAAACAGTCTTTATGTGAAAGAAAATCAGGCTGTTCCTCTCCCCGAAGCGCTCGTTTTGTTTTCCGTCTCCCCAGCTAACCGTCCCAGTCTGCGGCTCCATCGGGTTTAAGATCTGCTCAGGATCTAATTCAGACCAAAGACTGGTCGAAAAAAATACAAAACAAACGAATCTTCGTTGTCACAAATATAATTCCTCCAGTTTAAAAGAYGATGGTTTAAATTTTAATTGTTTACACGCATGCTAGATTAATCGATATGAAGAAATTTATATTTATTAGAGGTTAGTACTGATGTTAAAAGCACAACACTATATTTTTAGGTTTTCCTTTTAATAATGTTGACAATGTTTAATCTATTATGTTTTGATTGATATAGATTAGTTACATGTCCGAATTATAACAACACAAAATCAACCGTTATGAGAACAGTAGGCGAGAATTTTGTCTGAATGCCTGTGATTCAGCCGTAGGTCAGTAGGGGGCGAACACGGGCATTGAAGAACCTGTATAAATGGATGTACTTCCTGGTTTTTGGGCAGTGTGGTTTCCTTGTCAGCCCGGTGGCAATAAAACCTCACTCGGTTCCAGAATTCTGGTGTTGTTTGGGTTTTTATTCCTTCTACAAATCATTTTATTTACCAGTGGTGGTTTTCATGTTGACTTCAGTCTTTTGAACACGTATTTTCTTACAGATAACTAAATTATCCCTATAGGTGTTTGACTTGAACACGTTGGTAAAACCTGGTAAAAATATTGGACAAATGGAGTCCAAACAATTTAAAACAACAAATTGTTTATTTTCTGTGTCTATAAGTCAAAGATGACACGTTGGTTTGTTTTATTAGAATAAATGAATTCCACCTCAGTATTGATCCACATCCTTGCAGAGATAGGAGGTTGTGACCGAGGTAATGAATGTTGGAGACGCGTCATAATCTCTGTAATGCTTGGTTTGATGGGGATCAATGCTGTGTTTGGTGTCTTTATTAAATAACCTGAGATAAAATCATATCTTTAATAAAAGCTGATGTGAAACCCTTGATGTGGCTCTTTTCTCTTGTCTTGCAGAGAGTTACTGAACTAATCAAACGGAGGGTTTTGGGGGAAACCTGAAGGTCCGAGACGTCTTCAAGCTTGGTGGCTACATGCTCAGCTGTCTTTGGCTTTAAGGAGAACCGAACCAGGACGCAGGAATCATGGATTTTGTAATGAAGCAAGCTTTAGGCGGTAAGTTAAATGTATTTGGTGGAGGTCCCACGTCCTCACACATGTTGAAACCCAGATAGCAAAAGATGTTAATTCAATGTTGAATTATGGTCAAAAAGTTTTGAAATGAAAATGTCTACTACTAATATAATTTATGCTAATGTCAATACTGCTGATGCTAATCCTACTAGGCCTACTAGCTAGTAGCTGTAGCTAAATCTACGACTAATAGTGCTAATTTTGCTGATGCTCTGCAACTACTACTAACAATAATGCTAATACTTTTGATGTCATTCCTACAACTACTAATGCTAATTTTGTAACACTGCTGATGATAATTCTACTATTAGACCTACTAATGCTAATTCTGTTAATGCTAATATAGCTAAAGCTAATACTGCTGATACTAATTGTACTTCTTCTGGTGTTAAAAATGCTAATGTAATACTGCTAAAACTAATTCTACTTAATCTAATGCTAATTATGCTAATGCTAATACTGCTGATACTAATTGTACTTCTTCTAATGCTAAATATGCTAATGCTAATACTGCTGATACTAATTGTACTTCTTCTAATGCTAAATATGCTAATACTAATAGTGCTGACAGTAATTGTACTTCTTCTAATGCTAAATATGCTAATGCTAATACTGCTGATACTAATTGTACTTCTTCTAATGCTAAGTATGCTAATACTAATAGTGCTGACAGTAATTGTACTTCTTCTAATGCTAAGAATGCTAATGCTAATACTGCTGATAATAATTGTACTTCTTCTAATGCTAAGTATGCTAATGCTAATACTGCTGATATCAATTCTACTTCTAATGCTAATGCTAATACTGCTGATACTAATTGTACTTCTTCTAATGCTAAGTATGCTAATACTAATAGT